GCAGGTACCATGCATGATGCGCGCGTAGGTTCGGTCAGTATGCAATTGGTTAGAACTAATAGGTTCTAACCTTTTGTATCTATGAAATTCACCACATATAAGCATTCGAGTCGTGCATGGTACCTGCACTACAGGTGCGCATACCGACCAAACTGACCAGCGCATTACTTATGTTTGTAGAGATATAGTTTGTATCATTTTTTTGCCAGTCCACTAGATTAGGCCATCTACTTTAACAACACTAGGATCTAACCTTTTCGATCCACATAATTTGGGAGATTTCATAGATCCAGCTCCGCCCTGTACCTGCACACAAGCGTGCATACTGACCGAACCTACACGCGCATCATTTACTCCGTAAAACTTCACTGAATACCACATATCTTTCGCCTTTCCTTTGAATTATACCATTCCCCACCCCCCTACTAGGTTCTAACCTTTCGGATCTATGTCATTTGCCAAATATAGGCATTCGAGTCGTGCATGGTACCTGCACTACAGACGCGCATACCGACAAAATTGACCAGCGCATTACTTATGTTTGTAGAGATGTAGTTAGTATCAATTTCCTGCCAGTCCACTAGATTAGGCCATCTACTTTAACAAAACTAAGTTCAAACCTTTTAGATCCACGTAATTTTGGAGATTTCAGAGATCCAGCTCTGCCTTGTACCTGCACACAAGCGTGCATACAGACCGAACCAACGCACGCATCATTTTCTCCGTTAAAGTACACTGAATACCATATATCTTTTGCCTTTCCTTTGAATTATACCATTCCCCACCCCCCTACTAGGTTCTAACCTTTTGGATCTATGGAATTTGCCAAATATAGGCATTCGATTCGTTCATGGTACCTGCACTACAGGCGCGCATACCGACCAAACTGACCAACGCATTACTTATGTTTGTAGAGATGTAGTTAGTATCATTTTCCTGCCAGTCCACTAGATTAGGCCATCTACTTTAATAACACTAGGTTCTAACCTTTTAGATCCACATAATTTGGGAGATTTCAGAGATCCAACTCGGCCTTGTACCTGCACACAAGTGTGCATACTGACCGAACCTACGCGCGCACCATTTTCTCTGTAAAACTACATTGAATACCATATATCTTTCGCCTTTCCTTTGAGTTATACCATTCTCCACCCCCCTAGTAGGTTCTAACCTTTTGGATCTATGTAATTTGCCAAATATAGGCATTCGAGTCGTGCATGGTACCTGCACGACATGCACGCATACCGACCAAACTGACCAGCGCATTACTTATGTTTGTAGAGATGTAGTTTGTATCATTTTCCTGCCAGTCCACTGGATTAGGCCATCTACTTTAACAACACTAGGTTCTAACCTTTTAGATCCACATAATTTGGGAGATTTCAGAGATCCAGCTTTCCCTTGTACCTGCACACAAGCGTTCATACTGACCGAACCTACGCACGCATCATTTTCTCCGTAAAATTACACTGAATACCACATATCTTTCGCCTTTCCTTTGAATTATACCATTCCCCACCCCCCTACTAGGTTCTAATCTTTTGGATCTATGTCATTTGCCTAATATAGGCATTCGAGTCGTGCATGGTACCTGCACTACAGACGCGCATACCGACCAAACTGACCAGCGCATTACTTATGTTTGTAGAGATGTAGTTACTATCAATTTCCTGCCAGTCCACTAGATTAGGCCATCTACTTTAAGAACACTAGGTTCTAACCTTTTAGATCCACATAATTTGGGAGATTTCAAAGATCCAGCTCCGCCTTGTACCTGCACACAAGGGTGCATACTGAGCGAACCTACGCACGCATCATTTTCTCCGTAAAACCACACTGAATACCATATATCTTTCGCCTTTCCTTTGAATTATACCATTCTCCACCCTTCTACTAGGTTCTAACCTTTTGGATCTATGTGTCAGAGGTCCACTGGTAATTCCCGATTGATCCTAGGGAAGGGTTACAGGCACGTGGGCCTAGGGGGTTATGGGCGCAATCACCCGCTACATAAACAAGCCCTTTTATCCCAGTGGTTAGTGGCTGGGATTCTGACATGGTATCAGAGCGAAGGTCTCGGGTTCGAATCCCAGTGTGTGCACTTCGGGCATCCCAGTGCGGGGGGGTGTTAGAGGTCCACTGGTGATCCCCGATTGATCCTAGGGAAGTATTACAGGCACGTTGGCCTGGAGGGTTATGGGCGCAATCACCCGCTACACAAACAAGCCCTTTTATCCCAGTGGTTAGTGGCTGGGATTCTGACACTATGTAATTGACAAATATAGGCATTCGAGTCGTGCATGGTACCTGCACTACAGGCGCGCATACCGACCAAACTGACCAACGCATTACTTATGTTTGTAGAGATGAAGTTAGTACCATATTCTTGCCAGTCCACTAGATTAGGCCACTAGTTTAACAGCACTAGGTTCTAACCTTTTAGATCCACATAATTTGGGAGATTTCAAAGATCCAGCTCCTCCTTGTACCTGCACACAAGCGTGCATACTGACCAAACCGGCCCGCACATCATTTTCTCCGTAAAACTACACTGAATACCATATATCTTTCGCCTTTCCTTTGAATTATACCATTCCCCACCCCCCTACTAGGTTCTAACCTTTTGGATCTATGTAATTTGCCAAATATAGGCATTCGAGTCGTGCATGGTACCTGCACTACAGACGCGCATACCGACCAAACTGACCAGCGCATTACTAATATTTGTAGAGATATAGTTAGTATCCTATTCCTGCCAGTCCACTAGATTAGGCCATCTACTTTAACAACACTAGGTTCTAACCTTTTAGATCCACATAATTTGGGAGATTTTAGAGATCTAGCTCCGCCTTGTACTTGCACACAAGCGTGCATACTGATCGAACCTACGCACGCATCATTTGTTTCGTATAAATGCATTTAATACAATATATTTTTCGCATTTCCTTTGAATGATACCATTCCCCACGCCCCTACCAGGTTCTTACCTTTTGGATCTATGTAATTCCCCAAATATAGGCATTCCAGTCGTGGATGGTACCTGCACTACAGGCGTGCATACCGACCAAACTGACCAGCGCATTACTTATGTTTGTAGAGATGCAGTTAGTACCATATTCTTGCCAGTCCACTAGATTAGGCCATCTACTTTAACAACACTAGGTTCTAACCTTTTAGATCCACATAATTTGGGAAATTTCTGAGATCCAGCTCCGCCTTGTACCTGCACACAAGCGTGCATACTGACCGAACCAACCCGCCCATCATTTTCTCCGAAAAACTACACTGAATACCATATATCTTTCGCTTTTCCTTTGAATTATACCATTCCCCACCCCTCTACTAGGTTCTAACCTTTTGGATCTATGTTATTCGCCAAATATAGGCATTCGAGTCGTGCATGGTACCTGCACTACAGGCGTGCATATCGACCAAACTAACCAACGCATTTCTTATGTTTGTAAAGATGCAATTAGTATCATTTTCCTGCCAGTCCACTAGATTAGGCCATCTACTTTAGGAACACTATGTTCTAACCTTTTAGATCCACATAATTGAAGAGATTTCAAAGCTCTAGTTCCGCCTTGGACCTGCACACAAGCGTTCATACTGACCAACGCATTATTTGTTTCGTATAAATGCATTGAATATCATCTACTTTTCACATTTCCTTAAAATACCATTCCCCACCCCCCTACCAGGTTTTAACCTTTTGGATCTATATAATTCGCCAAATATATGCATTCTAGTCGTGGATGGTACCTGCACTACAGGCGTGCATACCGACCAAACTGACCAGCGCATTACTTATGTTTGTAGAGAAGTAGTTAGTATCATTTTCCTGCCAGTCCACTAGATTAGGCCATCTACATTAACAACACTATGTTCTAACCTTTTAGATCCACATAATTGAAGAGATTTCAAAGCTCCAGTTCCGCCTTGTACATGCACACAAGCGTGCATACTGGCCGAACTGACCAACGCATCATTTGTTTCGTATAAATGCATTGAATACCATATATTTTTCGCATTTTTTTTTAATGATACCATTCCCCCCCCCCCTACCAGGTTCTTACCTTTTGGATCTATGTAATTCACCAAATATAGGCATTCCAGTCATGGATGGTACCCGCACTGCAGGCGTGCATACCGACGAAACTGACCAGCGCATTTCTAATATATGTAGAGATGCTGTTAGTACCATATTCTTGCCAATCCACTAGATTAGGCCAAATATAGGCATTCCAGTCGTGGATGGTACCCGCACTGCAGGCGTGCATACCGACCAAACTGACCAGCGCATTTCTAATATATGTAGAGATGCTGTTAGTACCATATTCTTGCCAATCCACTAGATTAGGCCATCTACTTTATCAACACTAGGTTCTAACCTTTTAGATCCACATAATTTGGGAGATTTCAGAGATCCAGCTCCGCCTTGTACCTGCACACAAGCGTGCATACTGACCGAACCGACCCGCGCATCATTTTCTCCGTAAAACTACACTGAATACCATATATCTTTCGCTTTTCCTGTGAATTATACCATTCCCCACCCCTCTACTAGGTTCTAACCTTTTGGGTCTATGTAATTCGCCAAATATATGACATTAGAGTCGTGCATGGTACCTGCACTACAGGCGTGCATACCGACCAAACTGACCAACGCATTACTTATGTTAGTAAAGATGCAGTTAGTATCATTTCCTGCCAGTCCACTAGATTATGCCATCTACTTTAGGAACACTTTGCTCTAACCTTTTAGATCCACATAATTTAAGAGATTTCAAAGCTCCAGTTCCGCCTTGTACCTGAACACAAGCGTGCATACTGACCGAACCGACCAACACATCATTTGTTTCGTATAAATGCATTGAATACCATATATTTTTCGCATTTCCTTTGAGAAATACCATTCCCCACCCCCCTACCAGGTTCTAACCTTTTGGATCTATGTAATTGGCCACATGTAGGCATTTCAGTCGAAGATGGTACCTGCACTACAGGCGTGCATACCATCCAAACTGACAACACAGCACAGCACAGTGCACCACGTCACCATCTTTCTGCTCTCTTCCCCACACTGCTCCACCTGCCCGTACCCCTACCCACGTGTGCCTGCCCCCAGGCCCATGCGCGGTGCTGCCATACCCATCGCTGCCGCGCTTCTTTACAGACCCCATCACTGACGCCCTCCCCTCTGTTGTCTTCTCATCCAACCCTTCCCGGTGAGCCCCTGATTCCCCTCTATCCCCCATCCCCGTTTGCTCGCTCTTCTCACCTCTTTCTCCTCCCTTCCCTACGTTCTGACACACTCTCTGGTTGAATTTCACACATGCATATAGTACACATACACGCACATGACACATGCATATAGTACACATGCACACACAAGACACATGCATATGTGCCATCCTCTGAGCTCAAAACCTTTTCTTCCTCTCCCTTCCCCTCTCTGCCTGTCTGTCCCTCCTTTGAAGTTTTTTATAGCCAATTTGATTTCTTCTGGTGCTTGTCGTTCAGTTCCATCCTCCCTTCCCTCCCTCCCTCCCTCCCTCCCTCCCTCCCTCCCTCCCTCCCTCCCTCCCTCCCTCCCTCCCTCCCTCCCTCCCTCCATCCCTCTCTCCCTCCCTCCCTCCCTCCCTCCCTCCCTCCCTTCCTCCCTCCCTCCCTCCCTCCCCTCCTCCCTCTCTCCCTCCCGCTCCCCCCGCCCCCATCTTGAAACCCTCACGGCAGCCTCAAGTTCTATTCGCAGGAGCTGGTGGTGCTCAGGGTGGACCTGCAGCGCCACATGCAGCGCAGCGCCGTGTTGCCGCCACTCAAGGACGTCGACCCCTTCACCCATGTCAGTCGCATGCGCCCTCTCACGCCCGCTCCTCTCGCCATGGCCTAGCGCCCCTCTCGTTGGAAGCTCACGAGTCTAGGACTTTCACCCACGCGTATTGCGCTTCAAGTAGGTGCCCTCCCTCTTATATTCGCTCGAGCCAGCCACAGCTGCCCTTCCCTGCCTTCTCCTCTTCCCTGCCCTCACCCTGTGCACTGCATGCGCATCCCTGCCTGTGTGCCGCTGTGCCCCCCGGGCGGCAGGTGGCGACCACGGTGGTGCATCAGGCGCATCTCAGCCCGCTGCCCCTGGCCGCCCAGCCTGTGTTCTGGGACTATGACTTCACTCTGCACCTCTTCCCCACACCCCACGTGGTATGCTGGCGCCTCACATGATCAGTTGCTTCATTCCGTCCTGTTTGAGTCGATGTCATATTTGATTTGCCACTGGCAGTCTCGTTCTGTCTTGTGTTACTGTTCTGCTATCCCCTTGTCCACATCACTCATCAACCCACAAGCATACCATGGTTTACCATTCATCCTTGAGCATTCTTGTATCGGTCATTTGGACCCATTCAGGATCTCCCATCTGTGGCCACCAATCCAGCTTTGGCACCTTCGCCAGACGCCCCCCTCTGCCCCCTTAATTACACTCCTATGGGACACTCCCTTATCTCCCATTTCATCCTGCCAGCTCATTCTGGCAGACTCATCAGGGCAGAGCAGCGCTGTGGTGAATGGCATCACGTGCATCAACCCCGGCTCCTTCTCCCTCGATGGCACCTTCACTGCGTACTACCCAGCCTCACGCACAGTGGAGCACTGCAATGTGTGATGCATTTGCATTTGCTAGAGTTCTGTACCAAGTTCACTCGGGTGGTCTGATGCTGCAATGCACAAGAACTTCTCAATTCTAAGACCGCAACCCTAAATCTAACCTCGGAAACAAACATTTGGGTGTTGTACAAGGACCCAGCAGGCACATGAAGGCGGATGTTCAATTATGGGGGAAGGGTGGGGGTTCAATTATGGGGAGGGAGGGGTTGTAACTTGTAAGCTTGCATCTACCGGTAGGTGTTATGGTACTGTGTGCCTGTGGAGTTCAATCCACGTCATTCAGGCACAGGTTGACCTCACACGCTCAATCACAATTTCAATCTCTAGGGTGGTGCGAGCTCAACAGAGCGGGGAGAGTGCTCACAACAACTCTTCTACACACGTCACCACCCGGATGCCACACCACTTCCTAGAAGAAATATGCTCACAACAACACTTCTATAACTCTGTGATTTACACACTTCACCACCCAGGAGAATGGTGTGGCATGGTGGTGCTGCCTGGCGTGGCATGGCATGACATGGCATGGTTGAAAGGCATGGCGAACAACAGCTCTCTCATGGCGGGCAGCAGCTCACTCACATGGCGGGCAGCAGGACATGCAGATAGCGCCTTCCAGAGCACCGCCCCCGCTGACAGGAAGAAGGCTCGGCTGCCCACCGACGCCGCTGGAGGTGGGGCAGGGGGGGAAAGGGGGGAACGAAGAGGGGGTTGAAGGGAAAGGGTTGTGGTCGGCAGGAGTTTACAGATTCACAGGGGGCATGGTGGGGGGCGGGGGGCAGAAGCAGCGGCAAGAGAAAGAATTATGGCTGGTGTCAAAGCACTGCACCTCACAGTACCGCGTCTAATGCGAACCGCACCTCATTGCACTTCATCTCACCACACGGCATCTCCCCGAACTGCATCGAACCGCTCTGCACCTCACAGTATCTGACTTGGTTTCAGTTGTCCCCCACCCCACAGCAAGCTGAGAGGGAAAATCATCGAACGACCTGAATGTTATTGCATATTCCAATGGCCCATGGTCAAATACACCTACCAGAGCAATCTCAGCTTGGTTTGCGCGCACAGAAAAGTTCGGCGATCGCGATGATGGCAGTTTCAGCCGACAAATGCTAAGGAAGCGCATGGATCCCTATGGGCGTAGGTAAAATCATCGAACGACATGAATATTATTGCATATTCCGATGGCCCATGGTCAAATACACCTACCAGAGCAATTTCAGCTTGGTTTGCGCGAACTGAAAAGTTCGGCGATCGCGATGATGGCAGTTTCAACCGACAAATGCTAAGGAAGCGCATGGATCCCTATGAGCGTAGGGAAAATCATCGAACGACATGAGTTTTATTGCATATTCCGATGGCCCATGGTCAAATACACCTACCAGAGCAATTTTAGCTTGGTTTGCGCGCACATAAAAGTTCGGCGATCGCGATGATGGCAGCTTCAGCCGACAAATGGTAAGGAAGCGCATGGATCCCTATGGGCATAGGGAAAATCATCGAACGACATGAATGTTATTGTATATTCCGATGGCCCATGGTCAAATACACCTACCAGAGCAATTTCAGCTTGGTTTGCATGCATAGAAAAGTTCGGCGATGGCGATGATGACAGTTTTAGCCGACAAATGCTAAGGAAACGCATGGATCCCTATGGGCGTAGGGAAAATGATCGAACGACCTGAATGTTATTGCATATTCCAATAGCCCATGGTCAAATACACCTACCAGAGCAATTTCTGCTTGGTTTGCGCGAACTGAAAAGTTCGGCGATCGCGATGATGGCAGTTTCAACCGACAAATGCTAAGGAAGCGCATGGATCCCTATGGGCGTAGGGAAAATCATCGAGTGGATCCCTATAGGCATAGGGAAAAGCATTAAACGACCCAAATATTGTTCCATGTTCGGGTGGCCCATGTTCAAATAGACCTATTAGAGCAACTTCAGTTTGGTTCGCGCGCACAGAAAAGTTCGGCGCTCGCAATGACGGCCGTGCCTGCCGACAAATGCTAAGGAAGCGCATGGATCCCTATAGGCGTAGGGAAAAGCATCGAACGACCCAAATATTGTTGCATGTTGGGGTGGCCCATGTTCAAATACACCTACTAGAGCAACGTCAGATGGGTTCGAGCGCACAGAAAAGTTCGGCGCCCGCGATGACGGCCGTGCCTGCCCACAAACGCAAAGGAAGCCCATGGATCCTTTTAGGCGTATGGAGAAGCATTCAACGACCCAAATATTGTTGCATGTTTGGGTGGCCCATGTTCAAATACACCTACCAGAGCAACTTCAGATTGGTTCGAGCGCACAGAAAACTTCGGCGTCCGCGATGACGGCCGTGCCTACCCACAAATGCTAAGGGAGCGCATTGATCCCTATAGGCGTAGGGAAAAGCATTCAACGACCCAAATATTGTTGCATATTCTGGCAACCCATGTTCAAATACACCTACCATAGCAACTTCAGAATGGTTTGCACGCACAAAAATGTTCGGCGCCCGCGATGACGGCCGTGACTGCCCACAAATGCTAAGGAAGCGCATGGATCCCCATAGGCGTAAAAAAAAGCCTTCAACGACCCAAATCTTGTTGCATAATCTGGCGGCCCATGTTCAAATATTCCTACCAGAGCAACTTCAGATTGGCTGGCGCGCATAGAAAAGTTCGGCGCCCGCTATGATGGCCGTGCCTGCCCACAAACGCTAAGGAAGCGCATGGATCCCTAAAGGCGGAGGGAAAAGCATTCAACGACCCAAATATTGTTGCATATTCTGGCGGCCCATGTTCAAATACACCAACCAGTGCAACTTCAGATTGTTTCGCGCGCACAGAAACGTTCGGCGCCCGCGATGACGGCCGTGCCTGCCCACAAATGCTAAAGAAGCGCATGGATCCCTATAGGCATAGGGAAAAACATTCAACGACCCAAATATTGTTGCATATTGGGGCGGCCCATATTCAAATACACCTACCAGAGCAACTTCAGATGGGTTCGAGCGCACAGGAAAGTTCGTCACCCGCGATGACGGCCGTGCCTGCCGACAAATGCTAAGGAAGCGCATGGATCCCTATAGGCGTAGGGAAAAGCATCGAACGACCTGAATGTTGTTGCATATTCGGGTGGCTCATGTTTAAATACACATACCAGAGCAACTTCAGATTGGTTCGAGTGCACAGAAAAGTTCGGCGCCCGCGATGACGGCCGTGCATGCCGACAAATGCTTAGAAAGCGCATGGATCCTTATAGGCGTAGGACGACCCGAATATTGTTGCATATTTGGGTGGCCCATGTTCAAATACACCTACCAGAGCAACTCCAGCTTGGTTCGCGCGCACATAAAAGTTCGGCGCCCGCGATGACGGCCGTGTCTGCCGACAAATGCCAAGGAAGCGCTTGTATCCTTATAGGCGTAGGGAAAAGCATCGAACGACCCGAATATTGTTGCATATTCGGGTGGCCCATGTTCAAATACACCTATCAGAGCAACTTCAGATTGGTTCGCACGCACAGAAAAGTTCGGCGCCCGCGATGACGGCAGTGCCTGCCGACAAATGCTAAGGAAGCGCATGGATCCCTATAGACGTAGAGAAAATCATCGATCGACCCCAATGTTGTTGCATAGTCGGGTGGCCCATGTTCAAATACATCTATCAGAGCAACTTCAGACTGGTTCGCGCGCACACAAAAGTTCGGCATCCGCGAAGACGGCCGTGCCTGCCCACAAATGCGAAGGAAGCGCATGGATTTCTATAGGCGTAGAGAAAAGCATTCAACGACCCCAATATTGTTGCATATTTGGGTGGTGCATGTTCAAATTCACCTATCAGACCAACTTCAGCTTGGTTCGCGCGCACAGAATCGACGCCCGCGATGACGGCCATGCCTACCCATAAATGCTAAGGAAGCGCATGGATCCCTATAGGCGTAGGGAAAAGCATTCAACGACCCCAATATTGTTGCATATTCGAGTGGCGCATGTTCAAATAAACCTATGAGAGCAACTACAGCTTGGTTCACGCGCACACAAAAGTTTGGCGCCCGCGATGACGGGCGTGCCTGCCCACAAATGCTAAGGAAGCGCATTGATCCCTATAAGCGTAGGGAAAAGCATCCAACACCCGAATATTGTTGCATATTCGGGTGGCCCATGTTCAAATACACCTTACAGAGCAACTTCAGCT